GGCTTCCAGAACCATCACAGCCCCCTGCAAAGCCAAGGGAATCACTCAGCAGGAGGGGGGGGTTTATGGGCTGTCTCCTCTCATTGTTCTCTGGCTCCAACACCCTCTGGGATTTTTGGGTGCACTCCAGGGACCGGGAAAGGAGACCCCGAGCCAGCCCCGGAACAGGGGGGACAGGGGAGCCCCCCCAGCCAGGGCAGGGGAACTCTGTCCACACCTATTCCTGGAGCTCTTCCCTAGGGAAGGTGCCACAGAGCTGCCTTAGAGACTCACAGGGTCCCAGGGTGGGTTGGGCTGGAAGGAACTCGGAGATAATCTGGATCCACCCCCTGCCAGGGGCAGGGACACCTCCCACTGTCCCAGGTGGCTCCAGCCCGGCCTCGGACACTTCCAGGGCTGGGGCAGCCACAGCTTCTCTGGGAATTCCATCCCAGCCCCTCCCCACCCTCCCAGGGAGGAATTCCCAGAGCAGCTCTGGCTGCCCCAGCCCTGGAAGTGTCCGAGCCCGGGCTGGAGCCACCTGGTCTATGGAAGGTGTCCCTGCCCCTGGAGCAGGATGAGCTTTAAGGTCCCTTCCTTTGGCCCAAACCATCCTGGGATTGTGGGAATAAATCCCCACGCTTCCTGCTGAATTCCCAACGTGCCTCTGGCGAGCTGGGACAACACACTTTGTCCTGCAGAGCCTCCTGGGCTGCCCAGGTTGGAGCTGGGAATGTCGGGGTGGGAAGGGAGCGATGCCCTTCGGCCCTTCCCGAGGTCACAGACACCCAGTGACACCCAAAGCTCCCAAACCCCCGGGATTTTGGGGGATTTTGTGCAGCTCTAAGGGAGTTTTAACGCTCCGGTTCTGCCTCTCCCACAGCCCCTCACGATGGAAAGGGGATCATTAACTCTGGAGAGAACTAATCCACAGGCTCCCAGCAGCTTCCAGAGGCAAAGCCAGTGGGGTTGGGCACCTTCTGAACCCAAATTTTGTTATCTCCAGTCCCCAGCTCGCTGTTCAGAGACAAGTTCTGTCCTGCAGGACCCTCTGGAATCGCTCCTGGCAGCAGGAATGAAGGTGTTTCAAGGGAAGCCAAGTGGGAAAGAGGGAACAGCCTGGAGCACTTTGCCTGCTCCGGGTCCTGCCCAGCAGACAGTGGGATTTAGGCACCGGTGGCACAAAAAAAAAAGGGGGAATTTCAGCTCTGTCTGTGTGGGAACATCAGCTGATTTTCCCTCTGGAAGATTCAGGCACTGTTTGGACAGGGCTGGACTCGGGCTCAGGGAAGATGTGCCATTAAACTCCTGGGAAAGCCTGAAAAAAAGGAGTTTTCTGTAGCACTGAGACGAGGAAAAAAAGCCAAATCTACAGCTTGAAAGGCAACTGCCCACTAAAAATACAAGTTTTCTCTGGAAAAACTCTGTGCTTGGAACAGCAACGAAAAATACTGAAGTATTTCACACATTTTCTTGGCATTTGCTGGTACTTTGTACTCGGCAAGTTCAAATAAATACTTCCACCACTGATTTCTAAGTTTTTTTCAGAGTTATATTTAAAGCTCTTCCTCAAGTTAAAGCCAGGAGAAAAACTTTTTCTCGAGTCAAAGCAAAAAAAAAAAAAAAAAAAGAGAGAGAAGCTTTTTCTTCCCTCGCACTTATTTTCCTGTTTGGAATTTGCTCCTAAGTGAAAAATCTGTGCAGTCGAGTTTCTTCTAAACACTCAAATTACCAATATTTTACCTCCAGCAACTGCCAGAGTTCGTGCACAGCCTCCCTTGCATCCGACTTTCCACCACCCACAGCACAAAAACGGGGAGAAGAAAAAAAAGCGGAAAGGACCGAGAGAGAGAGAGAGAGAAAAGAGGCAGAAAATTAATAATTAATTGGGTTTCTCTGAAGCCCTCCAGACACGGCGAGCGGGACCCGGCGGAGCTGGGGGCGAGCAGAAGGTGGTAGACCACAGGCAGGATATAACTTTATTTTCAAATAGGGCTTGTCTCACGTACAAAAAGACTACACACAGCAAACCACCACGCCAACACGAAAGAACTAAAAAACCCCGGGCACGCCGAGAGAGAAAACGGCCGGAAATGGATAAAATAATAACCAAAAAAAAAAAAAACCCAAGAAAAACAACCACAACAACAAAAAAAAACAAACAAACCGGCCGGGGCAGAGGGAAGAGCGGGTTAAAACCGGGGGAAGGACGAGCCCGTTCCCAAATCCCGGCACCCCGAGGAGCTCCCGGGGGGACGCGGCCCCTGCGCTGGCACCACCCCACTCCCAGCTCCGGCTTAGGCCCGGCTTAGTCCAGCCCACTCCGACCCGGGTTTGTCCCTGCCCACGTGTCCGTCCTGCCTTCCCGGGACCCCCCCGGCCCACCAGAACCCCCCGCGAGTTGGGGGCAGCCCCTCGGCTTTCCCAGGTTTTTCCCAGCGGATCCCTGGTTTCTGGGGCGGCCCCCCCCCCCCCTTCCTCCCCGGGGTTTTGGGGCAGCCCCTCGGGTTATCCCACGGACCCCCCGAGTTTTCCTGCGGACCCTCGGGTTACCCCACAGACCCCCGGATTTTGGGGCAGACCCCCCGGATTTTGGGGCAGACGCTCGGGTTTTCCCTCAGTTTTTGGCGCAGCCCTCCCGGGGTTACCCCGCAGACCCTCCGGCTTTGGGGCAGACCCCCAAGTTTCCCTGCAGGCCCTCAGGTTTCACTCAGACCCTCCGGTTTTGGGGGTCACTCAGGTTTCACTCAGACCCTCCGGTTTTGGGGGTCACTCAGGTTTCACTCAGACCCTCCGGTCTCCCTCTGGACCCTCAGGTTTTGGGACGGACCCCTGGGCTTTGAGGAAGACCCCCAGGTTTTCCTGCAGCCCCTCAGGTTTTGGGACAGACCCTCGGGTCCTGCCCCAGACACTCAGGTTTCCCAGCAGACCCCCGGATTTTGGTGCAGCCCCTCGGGGTTTCCCTGCAGACCCTCAGGTCTTGGGACCCTCGGTTTTTTAGGACACAGGCCTGGATTTCGGGGAAGACCCCCAAGTTTTCCTGCAGACCCCCGAGTTCTGGCACAGACTCCCAAGTTTTGGGGCAGACCCTCAGGTTTCGGGACAGAGCCCTGGATTTTGGGGCAAATGCCCAAGTTTTCCAGCAGACCCTCAGGTTTCAGGGCAGACCCTCGGGTTTGCTGCAAACCTTCAGGTTTCCCTGTGGAGGTTTTGGGACAGAGCCCTGGATTTTGGGACAGACCCCCAAGTTTCCCTGCAGACCCTCGGGTTTCCCTGTGGACCCTCAGGTTTTCCAGCAGACCCTCAGGTCTTCCTCCAGATCCTCAGTTTTTGGGACAGATTTTGGGGCAGAACCCCAAGTTTCCCTGCAGACCCTCAGCTTTCCCAGCAGACCCTCGGGTTTCAGGGCAGACCCTTGGGTTTATTACAATCCCTCAGGTTTCCCCGTGGACCCTCAGGTTTTCCAGCAGACCCTCAGGATTTCCAGCAGACCCTCAGCTTTCGAGGCAGAGCCCTGGATTTTTGGGGGCAGACCCCCAAGTTTCCCTGCAGACCCTCGGGTTTACTGCAAACCCTCAGGTTTCCCTGTGTAGCCTCAGGTTTTGGGACAGAGCCCTGGATTTTGAGGCAGACCCCCAAGTTTCCCTGCAGACCCTCAGGTCTTCCAGCAGACCCTTGGGTTTATTACAAACCCTCCGGATTTCCAGCAGACCCTCAGCTTTTGAGGCAGAGCCCTGGATTTTGGGGCAGAACCCCAAGTTTCCCTGCAGACCCTCAGCTTTCCCAGCAGACCCTCGGGTTTCAGGGCAGACCCTTGGGTTTATTACAAACCCTCAGGTTTCCCCGTGGACCCTCAGATTTTCCAGCAGACCCTCGGGTCTTCCTGCAGACCCTCAGCTTTCCAGCAGACCCTCAGGATTTCCAGCAGACCCTCAGCTTTCCAGGCAGAGCCCCGGATTCTCGGGGGCAGAACCCCAAAGTTTCCCCACAGCCGCCCCTCGGGTTCACTGCAAACCCTCAGGTTTGGGGGCAGCCCCTGGGGTTCACTGCAAACCCTCAGGTTTGGGGGCAGCCCCTGGGGTTCACTGCAAACCCTCAGCTTTCTTCCCCCCCCCCAAGTTTCCCCCTCAGCTTCGGGGGGAAGGGGGGGGGGGGGGGGCAGGTCATCTCAAACCCTCCAGTTCCGGGACGATTCACGGCATTTAAAAAAAAAAAAAAAAAAAAAAAAAAAAAAAAAGGAAAAAAACCCGCAAACGTTTCCCTCCCCCCCAGCCGGGTGCCCAAAACTTTTCCTGCCGCTTCTCCGCCGCTTCTTCCCCCTCTCCCGGCGGGGGGACCCCCCGGCCGCGCCCCCCCCCCTCGGGGCGCGGTGGCCCCGGCGCTGTCCCCGCTGGTGGCCCCGGCGGTGGCCCCGGTGGCCCCGGCGGTGGCCCGGTCCCCTCCCCCACTCCCCTCCCCCGCCCTCCCGAGGCTGTGGCACCAATAATCCGCCTTTGCTGACATGCTCGGGTAGCTGTGCCTATCGGGCAACTCCCAGGATGCACTCCCGCTCCTCCCTGGCACCCCCTCACCCCTGCCCACCCTCCCCTCCTACTTCCCAACCCTCTTTTCCCCTTTCGTTTTTAATTTTTTTTATTTTTTTTTTGGGGGGGGGTTTTGGTTTTTGTTTTCCCCCCCCCCCCACCACCAAAACCGCCGCCCCGAACACCCCCGTCCCTGCCCCTCACCCCAATAACCCCCCCCCACACCACCACCACCACCGAACACGTCCCTCAAGTGGGTTCCGCCCCCCCCCCCCGCCAGGGCGCCCTCGCCCTCGCCCCCCCCCCCCCGCACATCGGTGCCCCCCCCACCCCTTCGCGGCCCCCCCCCCCCCCACCTTTTGTTGGCCCCCCCCCCCCCCTTGCCCTCAGCCGCTCGCCCCCCGGGCCGGGGGGTGTGGGGGGTGTGGGGGTGTCCCCCCCTGTCCCCGCTCCCCGGGGGGGGTGTCCGGGGGGGTGGGGGGCGCGGGTGTCACTCACTGTCCGGAGCCCCCTCAGAGCCGCCTCCTCCTCCTCCTCAGCGGGGCCCGGCCCGGACTGGGGCCGTGGGGGGAGGGGAGGCGGCTCCCTCAGGTGGCCACTGACAGGAGGGGGGGGGGGCGGGGGGGCTGCGCGCGCAGGGGGACCCGCCCCCCTCACCCTCCGCCCCCCCCACTGACCCCGTCTTCCTCACCCCCCCCCTCGCCCTCCGACCCCCTCCCCTTCCCCCCCCCCCCCTCCCTCAAACCCCCCCCGGGTGAACCCCGACCCCCCCCCCGGGCCCCCCCCGTTGCCAGGCAGATTTGGGACACCCTCGCGCCCGGCCACGCCCCCCTGCCCTTGGCCACGCCCCCCCGCCGGGCCTGGGGCGCTGCGCTGGGGGTTTTTTTTAATCTTTAAACTCGTGACTGACGGGTGAACCGCCCAATCAGAACAGGGCTTGCCCGCGCCGCGGCCAATCAGCGCGCGGAGCCCGCCTTAGGCCCGCCCCCGTAGTAAGCGGCGAAGAAAAGAGGCGTGGCCTCTTATTTGATTGACGCGTCTCGAGCCCCGCCCCCGCGAGGGGAAAGAGGCGCGGCCTCTTTGATTGACGGGCGGTTTCCCAAATGAGCGCCGCGCCGCGGGCAGCGGCGGCCAATGGGAGCGCGGGCCGCGGGGAGGGGGCGTGTCCCGAGGGGCCGGGCAGGGAGCGGCTCCGCCCGCCGGGTCCCCCCGGGGCCGGGAGCGGCTCCTCCCGGGGCCGGGCCGGGGCCGGCTCCTCCCGGGGCCGGCTGAGGTGATGGCGCTGCCCGCGGGGAGGGGCCGCGGCCGCCCTTATCCGCCCGCGCAGGCCGCGCTGGGGCCGCAGATAGGGAGGGGGGGGCGGGGAGCGGCGGCGGGAGGAAGCGGCGCGGGGGTGGGATGGGATGGGATGGGGTGGGATGGAGGCGGGGGCTCGGCGGGGCCGGGGGGCTCGGCGGGGGCAGCCCCGGTACCCGCCAGTGCCGGTCCCGGGGGCTGGGGCATGTCCCGGGGTCGCGGCTCCAGCCGGTGCCGGGATCAGGAGGAGCCGCTCCCGCAGCAGCTCCAGCCGGTGCCGGGGCAGGTCCCGGCCCGTCCCCCGGTGCCGGTTCGGTGACTCAGCCCCGATGTGGGTCAGGGTTCCCCGGCCCTTCCCCCGCCCCGGCCGCGCCTCCCCCGGGATGTTCCCGCAGGGATTTTTAACCCTTGGGCTGCGGGGACGAACCCGGGCGGGAGCCGAACCCACCTGGCCGAGTCGGCGCCGCAGAGCCGGGAACAAAGGAATTAATAAATGAATTTTCCTCGGGAGACTCCCTGAACAGTTGGATTAATACATTAAAAAAAACCCGTGTGCTGAGCCGCCACTCCCCCCCCACCCCCCAGCCCGGCTCTGCCACAGCCCTCGGGATTTGGTATCCAGCGTTTCCAGACACCTGGAAGGGAGGTTGTGCTTCGGAGGGAGAGAAATAAATCTCGGGTGAAGCAGTTTTCTAATGGAGGGGGGATAAAGTGCCAGGGCTGCCACTTTCCAAGGCCAGCACGGAGCTTTCCCCGAGTGTTTTCCACGTGCAGCTGATGGGATTTGAGGTGGCTCCCGTCAGGTTGTTGGGGTGCTGGTTTCACTCTGATAATGCCGATTATTTCCATTTATAATCGTCAAGGAGCACGAGGGGAGAATGTTTCCCGTTTTACCAAGGCAGGGGAGGCACCAAGTCGAGGCTTTTGCAAGGAAAGAACCGGAGCTCAAATCCAGGGCTCTCCTCCCTCCCTGCATCCAGAGCCGGGCAGGGAAGCTCCAACAAACTTCACTTTTGCCACTCAACAGGTCAAAGATTCCCAATTTCTGGGAACAACTTTGTGCTCAGCATCCTTTGGGAGAGTGAGCAAGGGCCTGGAGGGACAGGACAAGGGGGAATGGCTTCCCAGTGCCAGAGGGTTGGATGGGATATTGGGATGGAATTCCTCCCTGGGAGGGTGGGGAGGGGCTGGGGTGGAATTCCCAGAGAAGCTGTGGCTGCCCCAGCCCTGGAAGTGTCCAAGGCCGGGTTGGAGCAACCTGGGACAGTGGGAGGTGTCCCTGCCAGGGCAGGGGGTGGCACTGGATGGTCTTTCGGGTCCCTTCCCACCCGAACCATTCCAGGATTCCATGAGTTTTCCTGTTAAAAAGCACCTTCTCCCCCCCCTTTGCACGGCACGATTTTGGGCACAAAGAGAAGTTTTAACTCAGTGACTTCTCCCAGAACCCCCCTGGCTCCAAAGCTCAGGCCATCCCAAACCTCCTGGTTACCCAGGGAGGGCCGAATCCTTGGGAAGGATCCTTTAATCCCCAGGGAACACACACAGAGCTGCTGCATCTCCACCTGCTTCTCCCAGGAGAGCTTCCCAACAGGCTGGAGCTGGGTTTGATTCCCTAAAACTCGGGTAAAGTCAGGCCCAGATTCCTTCCCTAACTTTGTTCCCCGTGGTTGGTGGGAAGAGCTCTTTTCCCTGCCACGTTCCAACCCAGGTGGGATGAGCTGGGATCGTGGCAGAACCATCTCCAGCCACTTGTGCAGCAGGTTTGGAGCTTTGTTTTGCCCTGTCAGCTCCTGACACAGCCAAACACGAGGAAAACTGACTCTGGACGTGGCTCTGGATCTGTCAGGATCAAACTTTCCCACCTGCAGCCACTGGATTTCGGGTGTTTCCCGCGGGAGCTGCCGAGATTCCAGAGGGAAGGATGAAGAGGAGAAGGTGCCAACAGCTCAGCTCTTTTCCCTGAGGAAGGAGGGGCAGATTCCCAGGGAGAGGAGGCAGAGGCAGCGCAGTCCAATCCCATTCCCAGCAGAAAGGAAGCTGCCATTCGGGCTGGAATTTTCGTTTTTGGAGCAAAACCTACTCGGCTTCTCGGATGAAAGTTCCAGGGAGGAGCTCAGCAGCTCAGGGGGTGCTTTGGGAAAGGACAGGCTGCAGTTGAGCCTTGTACCTTTAGTCCTTTCCACGTTTTACTCTCAAAAGAATTCAGCAGTTTTCTTCTGTTTTGTTTTTTTTTTTTTTCTTTAAACTTAAAAAAACAAACTCAAAAAAAAACCCAACAGCTTTAAAAAGCTGAAAATGTAAAAAAAAAAAAAAAAAACACCTGCTTGAAAATTCGGGGATAAAAGGCACAGAGAGGAAATTTCTCCCGGGAAACCACTGATCCCTTGGTGAAGATCAAACACAGCCCCAGCCAGGGCAGGAAGAACAGTCGTGTCCTGGCCCAAACCACTCCCAATTCCCGGTGTTTGAGGAACCCACGGAGCCCTGGTGTTATCCCAGACACCTGCTGCCGTTCCAGCAATCCCAGAGCAGCTCCAGCCACGTCTTCCCTGCCCGGGGGAGCCTTTCCAAGCAGGAAAATCCGGGCTGTGGGCCCAGCAGGGACCTCCCCGGGGCTGGGCTGAAGGAATCAATTCTACAAAGCGGTAGAAGAAGTAAAATTTCACTTTATTTAAAAATTCTTCTAATATAGAAAAGGAGAGGGGGCCCAGGGGGCGGGGGGACAGGGCCAGGCCCCTCCTCATTGCAGGGGTTCAGGGGTATTTACAGGGAGCAGCAGGGGCTGGGGGGCCCTGCCCTGCTCCTGGGGGACATTAAATACAGGGGGGGGCAGGGACAGGGGGCACTGCAGCCTCTTTGCTCCCCCTTTTTCTGCACAGCCAAAAATAAAAAAAAACCTCCCCAGGATTCCCTTCACCCCCCTGTCCCTGGCAGGAACGGGGCTGGAGGGCTCAGGGAGCCCTGACATCCCTCAGTTCCTGCAGAATTTGGGAAAACCGGATGAAATCAGGGCAGGGGAGCTCAGGCAGCTTCAGGCCCTCGTTTATCCGGCAATTTTTTGCTCCTGATGGGTTTTATTCTTATTTTATTTCGATTTGATGTCTTTTGAACTCCCCCAGCCTGATCCAGGTGCCCTGGGTGGTTGGGCCTTTGCTGTTCCTGCTGCAGGGAATGGGATACAAGGGGCAAAAACACGTCTCCAGACTGCAGCCTCTATACATATATCAGGTTTTTTACACTATCTACAACCAGGGATTAGGTGGGTTAAAGTTCCTGCTACTCCTTTAAAAATACCCAGAGGAAAAAACCAACCAACCAACCAAAAAAAACAAAAACCCAAACCCCAAACCTGTACATTTCTCTAAATTACATCTTTAGAAGAATAATTTTTTTGTGTGTTTTGTGTTTTTTTAGAAGCTCATAAAACACTTCAGGGGTCGTTTGGAGAGAGAGAGAGAGAGAGAGAGAGAAAATTAAATGATTGGACAAGACAGGTTAGAAATTTGTTCAAATCAAGTCAAACAGACCAAGCACTTTGACAGAGTTATTTTTGTAAACTTCTAGTTTTGCTGTTCAACTTTACACACTGGAAATGAGCAGAACTTCAGCTGAGGGCCTCAGCCCTGTTACAATACAAAAGGTACTGAAAAGCAAAAAAAAAAAAAAAAAAACTATTAAATAATTTAATATACAAGTGTAGTTAAAAAGCTTCTGTACATTGTCACTGATGTACATCGGGCTGGAGAGATAGAAAATCACCGGGTTATGTTCAAATTTACACGGGGGTTGGGAGTCCTGGGGTGGGAAGGGGGCTCTGGAGCTGAGTTTGGGACAGGGGGAGGGGTTTGTTGGGCTCAAAGCCAAGCCCAGGGCGATCCCAGGTGGATCCTCCTGGTGTGGCAGCACATGGATCCTGCTCCAAACCCCTGAGATCAGCACCAGCCTTCCCTCCAGTCCTCCCTTCCTTCCCCCTCCCCTTCCTTTTTGTTCCAGCCTGGAACTCTCCAAAGCGGCCTGGATCACCCCCAACAAGGACCAGGAGAAGCCACACTGGGAATTGTCCCCGGGAATTTGTGTCCCTGCCCCCCCATCTCCAGCTCTGGGGGTCCCTGAGCAGCACGAGGAGGTTGGGAAATGAGCCTTCCCCAACAGGCACTGCTGGACATCTCCCTGCAAGAGGCTTTTTCCCCCCAAGGCTCAGCCCCAACCACAGCTCTCTGGGGTGGGGGTTCTGTCAGTCCTGCCCTACAGGAGCAGCACTTTGACCCTGCCAGCATTTCAGGCCCTGGCTGCCCCATCCCTGGAAGGGTTTAAGCCCAGCTTGGAGCAGCCTGGTCTAGTGGAAGGTGTCCCTGCCCGTGGCAGGGGGTGGGAATTGGACGATCCTTAAGGTCCTTCCCAACCCGACCCACTCTGGGAACCTGCTCCTAAAATTAAAAGCCAATTTCTGAAGAGCTGAGATTAAAGTGAATCACAGAATATCCTGAGCTGGAAGGGACCCAGTTCCTGACAGCCTCGGGCTGGATGGACAGACAGACAAGAGGGTGCCTGGAGCCCCTGCCTGGGACTGGCTTTCCAAGCCCCTCTTTTCCAGTTGCTCCTCGTTCAGGAGCTCAGGGCACTGCCAAGGGCAGGGAAAAGCATTTGGGGGCTCAAAAACTGAGTTGTTGCAACTCAGTGACTTCCAGAGGGGAGGAAAAAAAAGGGAGATCCTGCTTCCCACACCAGGGCAAGGCAGAGCAGCCCATGGGGCATCAACATTCCCAAGGGGGGGTCGTTCCTGACCCCAGTCCCAGCACGGGGGGGGTGCTGAGCTCCTGGGGGGTGCAGCAGTGGGACCCCAAAGCTCCCCCCAAACTGGGGGCCCACTGGCCTGGAGCTCCCATGGGAATGCCTTGGGATTCAGAGCCTCAGGCACACCCCAGGAGCTGGATCCCCCCCGGACTGGGACCTCTGGATCACACCTTTCTTTCCTATTTTTTGAGTTTAAACAGCCCTGAGGGTTTTCCTTGCAATGCCAGGGACAAGACTCCCTGCCTGCAGTGGTGTCAAGGCCACGTTTTCCCCTCTGGAGATTTAACAAGGCCTAAAACACACCAGAGCCAAGGTCTGGGATCAGGATCTCCATGGGGGAGGAACCACAAAATCCTGCTTTGGTGACTGGACAAACCCCTGTCCCTGGAATGTCCTTCAGAGGGGAAAACTGAAGGGTTTGGATTGCAAAAAAAACACCTCTGAGCTGCTGAGAGAGAGAGGGGATGGGAACTGGGAAGGAAAAATGAGCCCTGGGGGCTGAAGTGAGATGATTTTAAGGTCCCTTCCAACCCATCTGTGACTGAAGAAAAGGTTTAGGGGGTCAGTCCCCTCTCTGACTGAACCACTGAGAGCCCTACACGTTCCTCTGCCCTCCCCTGTTTAAGCTGGGAGATGAATATCCAGAGCTACCAACGGAGAAAAACACCTTTATTCAACCCCAGGGACCCCCCAGGCACTGCTGGGCCCTGGCAAAACCTGGAATTAACTCCTCCCAGCTCTCTGCAGGCCCAGCCTGTGTCCTGCTCTGAGGCTGCACAGGCACAGGGAGGGAGAACTCACAGCTGGAGAGGCCAGAAAGCTGAGCTAGAACAGGGAATCTTACCTGGGAAAGCCTGGAAACTGGGCAGTTTTGCCCAGGGCAAGACTGTAGATTCATGTTAAGCCTCTGGCTTAGGTTGGGTCTGGGTTTAACCACCTGGTTTAACTCTGACTCTGTAAATCCTTAAGGCACAGGTGCCTTCACTGCCAGGCTGCAGCAAAGATGCAAAAGGCTGTTTTTTCCCCAGTTGTTTGGCCCATGAAGGGATCAGACAGGAGGAGAGGAACGTTCCTGCTCCCACAAACCCCACAAAGCCAGGAGAGAGCTGTGGTTCTGGGCCAGGGACAGGGAAGGGGGGCCCTCACAGGGACACAGTGGTGGCTCTTTGTCCCACTCTGCCCTGGGACACCAAAACCTGCCCCAGCTCCTCCTTCCCCAACAACAGCACAAAAAAACCCAGGAGAATTCCACCTCAGGAACTACACTGGGAGCTTCAGGGCACCCCAAAATCCATCATGATTTCACCCCATCACCCCCAGGGAGGGCACAAGAGCAGGACCACACTCCAGGGGAAAGGGGGGAGTGGATCCAACGTGGATCCAAGTGAGTCCTCTTTGCTTCCCAGGAGCTCCCAGCCAGGAGGGATCTGAACAGAGTGAAGGAACACGAGTCCTTTGGACTAAAAACCTCAATTCTCAGCCAGAGGGGGAGCAGCTCAAAGCAGCAGCTCAAACCAGCACACACACCCCAGGATATTCCTGCCTGGAAGGAGCAGCTCCTGCTGCCCTTCCCACCAAGGGCTCCTCTTGTCCTTCTGCCACCCCTCTCCCAGCAAGGCCTCCCTCCCAGAGGAACCTGCTGCCTTTTCCTGGCAGAAAAGGGGTTTTGCGTGGATTTTTTTTTTTTTTGTGTGTCTGTGTTTTTTCTCCTTTTGTTGTTTTTTTTGTTTTTGTTTGTTTGTTTGTTTTTTGGCTTTTGTTTGGTGGAGGTTTGTCCTGAATAGTTACTGTGGTTCACAGGAGGCTGGCCAGGCTGGTGGTGGGGCCGTTCTGGGCCTGGAACTGCACGGGGGGGGGTCCATCTGTCCACTGCAAGAAGAACACACACCGTGAAAATTCCCGGGAAATTTTCTCCCTGGGAAAAGGATTTCTCCCTGGGAAAAGCAGGACTGGCCACCCAGAGCTTCCCTGACACTTGGGGGAGCCCACCTTTCACCCCCCACACGCCAGGTTTGGGTTTTCCACGTCCCTGGAACGGGTGTTTCTTGGGGAGCCCCTCCACACCCCCACCATTCCCAACCCAGGGGAAGCAATTCCTGCTCTTCCAGGGACAAACTGGACCCCTGAGCACAGGAAAGCACAGGCAGGGACCCACCTGGATGTGCCAGAGGCTCCCAGGGCAAGGCAAAGGGTGCTCGTTTCGTTGCTTATCTCCCCTCTCACCTCGGCCAAAAATCTTCCAAAATTGGGTATTTATTTCTTAATCCTTTTTTTTTTCCCCCCCTCCAGGTTTTTAATCCAGGGCATCTCTGTGCCTGGCTCAGGATGGATGGGGGCTCAGGGATCCCCCAAAACTGCTGCTCACAAACCCTCAAAGCTCTCAGGTTTCCCCCCTGGGAGCAAAGCCAGCAAACAGCTCTTCCCTACTGGCCTTTCCCCCTCCTTTTCCTCCCCAAAGATGTCCAGTTCCTCACATCCCACGTTCCCCTCTGGATGTTCTCTCAGTTATTTCAGAACAGAATCACCTCCTGCTGTTGCTGAGGGAACTATTCCACGTTTTTAAACCTGTGTTAAAATGCTTCTGACAGGAAAAAACAGATAAATAAGATGGATATTTATAGATAAATGGGGGGGGGGGGGGAAAACCCCACTTGGGAATTCTGAAGTCCCAGTGCAAACTGCCTGGGACTGGGTTTCCAAGCCCCTCTTTTCCAGTTGCTCCTCGTTCAGGAGCTCAGGGCACTGCCAAGGGCAGGGAAAAGCATTTGGGGGCTCAAAAACTGAGTTGTTGCAACTCAGTGACTTCCAGAGGGGAGGAAAAACCCCACTTGGGAATGCTGAGGTCCCAGTGCAAACTGCCCTTCGAGCTGTGCCCAGCAAAGCATCCCCAGGACAAGGCAGAGGGGATGGCCCAGAGCCCCCAATTGAGTTCAGATCAAAAGCAACAGCTGGCACCCAAAACAAGAGGCCACCTGATCACACCCAGTGGCCACAAAAGCCATTTCAAAAGCCAAACAGGAGCTCTGGGGGTGGCAAGAAAACACCTGTGAGAAGCAAAGCCCAAGAATGAACTCGCTGGGTCGCCTCTCCTGCTGGCAGTGCCACCAACCAACCCTCACAAAAATCACTTTCTGTCACTTTTCCCGCTCTCAGAGCAGTTTGAACTGCAGGGAGCTGACTGAATTCGGGGAGCTGGGTGGGAAGGGGGCAGGGGGAGGCAGGGGTCGTGCCCTCACCGTGATCAGGTTGTGCTCAGGGAGGCTGCAGGCCTCGATGTGGTCCTGGAGCAGCTGCTGGGAGAAGTTCTGGTGCATCTGAGCTGCCTCGTGAGCATCCATGGCATTCCCACAGGCCTTGTTGAGGTCTGGAAGACAGCAGGGGAAAAAAAATAACCCCACTGCTTTGCACCCCAGGGCCAAGGGAGCAGCTCCCTTTATCCCAAAGCACCGGTCCCTGGGTGGGATGGGGATCATTCCAGCACCAAACCACGTCGGCCCAGAGCAAAAACCTCCCGAGGAAACCCCAACCCTTCCCTTTTCCAGCAGGATTCGCTGCTGTTCCAGCTTCCAGCTATCCAAAGGAACATCAAAGCAGCTCCAGGAGGAGGAAGGAAACTCCTGACACCACTGGAAGCCCCTGAGCAGCCTGGGCTGGGATTTTCTGCCTTCCAGCCCCATCTAGTGGGACTGGGACAGACCCGCTGCTTCCACCACACATCCCAGGGATCAGGCATCCAGCCTGGCCTCGGGCACTGCCAGGGCTGGGGCAGCCACAGCTGCTCTGGGAATTCCATCCCAGCCCCTCCCCACCTCAGCCAGGAATTCCTTCCCAATATCCCATCTATCCCTCTGGCACTGGAAGCCATTCCCTGTGTCCTGTCCCTCCATCCCTTGTCCCCAGTCCCTCTCCAGCTCTCCTGGAGCCCCTTCAGGCCCTGGAAAGGGCTCTCAGCTCTCCCTGGAGCCTTCCCTTCTCCAGGTGAGCACCCCCAGCTCTCCCAGCCTGGCTCCAGAGCCAGGGGAGATTCTGAGTTATCCCATTCCATGTCTGGGCATTCCCAGCCATCCCCAGGAAGGCCCTTTCCCCCCTCACCTCTGAGCAGGGCTGAGGACCAGAGCTGCACAGACATGTCTGGGATCTTGCTGGCCAACTGCATGGCTGGGACCACCATGTTGTTGCTTTCCTGGGGGAGAGCAGAGGGCAAAGCAAACAAAATAAATGGGATATTTGGGGTGGTTTTTTTCCACCCCTTGCAAACACACAGGTGTCAAATCTGCCTCCTTTAATTTGTGCCACGTCCTGTCACTCCCAGCTGGGAGCCTTTGATGGGACAACCCCAAAAACTCATCCCAGAGCTGCCTGGGATTTGCTCCATCCTGGGAATTCCAGTGCAGCACAGCAGAAATATTCCCTGTGCTCCAGCACAACAGTGAGATTTCAGGATTGTATCCACAATTCCTCCCTGAACAGTCCAGTGGAACGATGCCACTTGTCCTTTTCCAGCCCCTTTTCCTCAGGCATTAAGGAACAGACACTTCAAACACCTGATTAAAGTTATTAAACGTGCAAATCCCAGACCCAAGGCAATAAAATGCCAACTTTTTGTGGGACAGCGATAAAAAAAAAAGGCTCTGGGATTTCTTTCTCACCCTGTGGTTGCCCAGCACGTAGAAGATGTGCCCCAGCAGCACCAGGGAACAGGCTGTGAGCCGGTTCAGATCCTCGGCGTTGGACATCTTCAGGGTCTCCCTCAGGAACCGCCTGGAAAACGGGGAGAAAAAGGGGGTTTGACAACATCCCTTCCCTCCCAGCAGAGAAAAACCATCATGGAAAGCTGAACCGAGAGCTGGAGTAACTGGAAAACATCAGGAGTAGGGAATGAACGTGCTGCAGGTGATCTGAAAGCACCGAATTCCCAAAGCTCGGCTGCCACTTGGCAGAAAAGGCTGTGGCAGAGCTCCCCCCTTTGGAAAACTGCACCAAGGACACGAGATTCCAAAGGATCCCACAGGAAAGAGATCCGGATTTTCCGTGGGACAGACCCAACACAGGCTGAAGTACATCAAAGCTACTTTAAAACTTCACCTTGCCTGTTAAAAAGGGGGAAAAAACACGCAATAAATGATGAAAAAGCACAACCCTTAACTAAATTTCCTGGGAGGGAGTCAGGAATTCAGCTGACAGCTCCAACTCCGAGAGGCTTGGGGGTTCTCCATGAGTTCTGGGTTCAGTTTTCGTGGGATGGGTGGGCAGGGATTAGGGGAAAGGAGGGATTAATTCAGCTTTTTGGGATGGGAGTGGAAACCCCGAGGCCTCGTTTCTGCCTCTTCTCCCCGTGGGTTTCTCCAACCTCCTGCTTTGTTCAGGGGAGAACAGCAGGAAAGCTGCTGGCTTTGGATCCCCCAGGGGTTTGTACTCACTTTGCCTCGTTGTATCTCCCCTGGAAGAAGGAGAAGAGCCCTCGGATGTAAAAAGCTGCAGCTCGGAGACAGTGGGAGCTGGGGGGAAAAGCACAGGTTGGGATCTCAGCACCAGGGAGGGATCAGGGAATCCCACACGGATTGCTGGGAATTCCCACCCTCCCAAAAAAAAAAAACCAGCTTCCCAATTCATTATTACATAGGTCAGAACTTCTGCCTTGGAAATAAGTGGAGTGTTCTGCTTCCTCTTTCAAACCCTGCCACAAACCCCCTGTTCCCATCCCCGGAATTCTCACCTCACGGGGAAATTGTGGTCTGGATTTATCCTTTCCAACAGGCTGTAGAGCTGCAGAGTGGGAGAGGAGAGGGAATAATCAGCATTTCTCACACACACAGCCCGACAGAAAGTGCTTTTCTGAAGTGTAAGTCGAACCAGAAGGGTGCAGATCATCCCAAACACACCCGAATTCCCCCCCTCTGGTGGGATCAGGGCACACACACTCCAGCATTTGGAGCTTTCGTGCCCGTTTCGATCCCCAAAATCAAGTTCTGGATAAAATATCCTTCCTCAGACCTCGGGGGATTTTCTGGACAGCTATTTTATTTCCCCAGGAAACTGGTGGCTGTTGTGTCTCAGCTGTCCAACAACCCCAAACCAGTGCTGGGTCAGACCTGGTGTTTGATTCCAACCAGAATTCCACTCAGCCAAGGAAAAATGGTCCATTTTTAATCATCATTTTTCTCTCTCTCTAAGCCTCTTTCCCCCCCACCAAAAAAGTCCTTTTGTGGGTTGTGGCAAAGTTCACGTGGAGCCTCTTCACCAGACTCCTGCAAACACACCTCTGAGGGCCCTCACACCCCTGGGAGGGTGGAAATGGGGGATTTGGGGGGAAATTTGGGGACTGGAAGGGCCTCAGGGTGAAGCCAAAGGAACACAACACCTCCAGGGACCTGTTTGTGGCTGCCCAGTTATTGATGGAACCTCCCAAAACCCCCAAGCAGAGGGACAGGGGTGGGGGGGGAAGGTGGGAGTAAAGCCACCATTCCCATGGGAAGCTGGGAAGAATCCTGGGGATGAGCCAGAATTCTGGGGATGAGCCAGAACATTCTGATCCAGAACACTCTGACCCACAACACTCTGACCCAGAACACTCTGACCCAGAACACTCTGACCCAGGACACTCTGACCCAGGACACTCTGACCCAGAACACTCTGACCCACAACACTCTGACCCACAACACTCTGACCCACAACACTCTGACCCACGACACTCTGACCCACGACACTCTGACCCAGGACACTCTGACCCAGGACACTCTGACCCACGACACTCTGACCCAGGACACTCTGACCCACAACACTCTGACCCACAACACTCTGACCCACAACACTCTGACCCACAACACACTGACCCACAACACTACCCACAACACTCTGACCCACACACTGACCCAGAACACTCTGACCCAGGACACTCTGACCCAGAAGACACTCTGACCCAGAACACTCTGACCCAGGACACTCTGACCCAGGACACTCTGACCCAGAACACTCTGACCCACAACACTCTGACCCACAACACTCTGACCCACAACACTCTGACCCACGACACTCTGACCCACGACACTCTGACCCAGGACACTCTGACCCAGGACACTCTGACCCACGACACTCTGACCCAGGACACTCTGACCCACAACACTCTGACCCACAACACTCTGACCCACAACACTCTGACCCACAACACACTGACCCACAACACTCTGACCCAGCTGATTCCTCTCCCACTGCCTGGTGAAGGAGCTGCTGTGCCAGGCAAGGCTCCCACCGCAAAACCCTCCAGGGAAAAGCAGAATTCCAAGGCCAGGAGGTGTTCCCCCTGCAGGGAAGGGGGCTCTGGGGGCAGGCAGGGCCCATGTACCTCCTGGTGCCTGTTGCCCTCCCGGATGTACACGCTGGCCAGGTTGGTGACAATGAATGCCCAGAGCTCCTGGTGTGTCGTGAGCTGGGAGGGACAGAACAACAACAGCACAGTCACACATTCCACGTATTCCAGAGCCTCCCCTGGCATCTGCTCATCCCAGAAAAATCCCACGTTTTTATGCCTGATGTTGTGATGCCATAAAACCCTCCAGGCTGGAAGCACAGGAAAAATTAACAGGGCAGTGAAGCTAAATACAGATTATTGCCAGGTTTCCCTTCTGACCTGGCCACTCCCACACAATTCCAACAGCCCCACTCCCACAGGAAAGCCTGGAAGCAGAAATCTCACCCTCAGTGCTGTAGTGAATTGTGCTTCTGCGTTGTCCATGCAGTTAACAGAGATGCAGTAGAGGCCCTGGAGGAGGAGAAATGTAAATGATGATCCTCACAGCGAAGAAAGGCACCCCCCAAACCCACAGAAATCCCGGGATATCGCCAGGGAAAAGCAACCAACAAGCCCTGGATGTGCTTGGCTCTGGGAAAAGTAAGGAATTCTTACAGAAAGCCCTTTAAAATAAGCTCATTCATGTAAAAAAAGCTTTATTTAGCTGAGGAAACCATAAATGTCACGCAATGCTCAAAATTTCCTACGTGACAATTCCCATTAAAAACCATCTCCAGCTGTTTTAAACCTCCTGAATTTACCTCCTTGACTATTTGTGATACAAAATCCAATACAAATCTTTTTCCAGAAAACCTGTGGATTCCCCATCCCTGGAAGTGTCCAAGGCCAGGCTGGAGCAACCTGGGATAGCAGGAGGTGGGATGGGATAGGATGGGATGGGATTTAAGGTCCTTCCAACCCAAACCCGCTCCAGGATTCCCCAACACTTATTTCCAAAGGGTTTTAAAAGCCTCAGACAGGTGGGAATCCCACCAGGGGTGAGGCCCCACAGGAAAGGATTCCTGCTGCTCTACTCCCTGCCTGCCCTGAGTTCCCAGGGATGAGCAGGAGAGAGGGATCTGGTGCTCCCAGGAGCTGCCAGGGGTAATTCCAGGCACTCACCAGGAGCGTGTGGAGCTGGGCAGCGTGGTTGGAGAAGAGCCTGGGTGACTGCTGGCACAGCTGGCACACCTGGGAGATCTGGCACAAGCACAGAGAGTCACATTTTAGGACACTTTTTCTCCGTTTCCTGCTCCAAATCCACCTCCTTCCCCCCCACACGTGTGTCCAGGTCTCAGTGATTATCCCAAGGATCCCAAATTACGCTCCTGGGTAGAAGCTGGAGGCTGGATGTGCCTCCAGCCCAGGGACAGGCACTGCCCCACGCCCCAGCTGCTCTGGGATGGTTTTGCTCCAGCAGCTCCACCCCCTGCAAACCAAGTCACAGATCCCTCCTGACAGACCCCAAACCCGAAATTCTGCAGAAAAACTGGGATAAAATATTCCAGGGAACGGGCCAGGAGCAACGGCCAGTTCTGAACCTCCCTGCTTGGGATGATCCAGCACCTCCCCTAAGCACGGGATGGATGAGCAGGATTTGAAAATGACTGGAAAAATGGGAAAAGGCCCAGTCCTTTCTTGCACTAAACAACACAGACCCTCCCTTGCTCTCCTTCCACTGTGTGGGAGGAAAGGACAGAAAGGCAGGAGGTCTGAAAGCTGGGAAATGCTCGGACAAGGAAGAGGAAGGAGCCACCCTGGGAAGGGGAAAGACACCCCAGGCAGGCTGTAAATACAGCAGGAGGGTGTCAGCTGCACCATCAGCCACTGTCCAACTCCAAAGTGTCCTGAAAATACTGCAGAGGAGCCGATCCCACAGCTCCTGAGCTCCATCCCTCCCGGCTGCATCCATCAATAACTCAGCAGGAATTCCTGCCTGAGCCCAAATATCTCCCCCCAGGCCGAAATTCCCACGTTTTAAAGGCCATCCCTGCGTCCACCCCCATCCCAGGGAATGCTGGAATCCCACCCCAGGGAGTGCTGGAATCCCACCCCATCCCAGGGAGTGCTGGAATCCCACCCCATCCCAGGGAGTGCTGGAATCCCACCCCATCCCAGGGAATGCTGGAATCCCACCCCATCCCAGGGAGTGCTGGAATCCCACCCCAGGGAATGCTGGAATCCCACCCCATCCCAGGGAATGCTGGAATCCCACCCCATCCCAGGGAGTGCTGGAATCCCACCCCATCCCAGGGAATGCTGGAATCCCACCCCATCCCAGGGGATGCTGGAATCCCACCCCAGCCTCACCTCCTGCAGGGCTGTGGCTTTGTGTCCCGTCACCAGCCGGCACATGATGATGTGTTCCAACAAAATCACTTGGAATGAGGACAGGATGGGGCTGCAGTCCAGCACTGGAGAGGGAGGGAAGGGAGCACAGCAAGTGGAGTTACCTCAGGAATTTACAACCCAGTTCACTGAGTCGCAGCAAAACCCCCCCAAACTTGGTATTTTAACAGTAACAATATCATTAACAATATTACTACTAATAATAAACAAACCACTAATTTTTGTACTCAAAGCAATCAGCTAAAAGAATTATAGTGGGAGCAGTGAAACAAACTGGGAACAAACAGTGGGAAAAGTTGTTACTCTCAGTAGTGTTTCTGCATTTAAAGCAACCACCCAGCCTTAAAAAAGAACAAAAGTCTCAGTCTGATCTTTGACTAAGCAGGGAGCCAAAAAAGGCTGTGTTTGGTTTAAATTAGCAACAAATACTAGAATTTTGCAGCATCAGCTGAATTCCAAGCCTTCTCCTTACTTTTTAGCTTCTCCAGCTGCATGAGGGCTTTGTCTGTGTACTTCTGGGCCTTCTCCAGGTACCCTGCCTGCATGGAATGCATCACTGTCACCTGCAGGGAGACACAGCACGGCTCACTCACCTTCCTCAGCCTCCCAGGAGCACTGGGATGGGATTCCCAGACAAACTGGGCACGTCCCAGTCCCTGGAAGTGTCCAAGGGCAGGCTGGAGCAGCCTGGGACAGCAGGAGGGGTCCCTGCCCAGGGCAGGGGGTGGCACTGGATGAGCTTTAAGGTCCTTCCAACCCAAAACTCCTCTGTGCCAAGAGGGAAGGGCTGGCAGTTCCCACGAGGCCTGGGAGTCCCCACAGCTGAGCTTTTTTAGCTCACCCTTGACAACATTTGGGGTTTTGAGTCACGTTCGAGAAGTGGAACGACCAGTTCCAGAGACCCGGAGTCCAGTTGTCACAACACAGGTAAAAACTGAGCCAAGGTGGCTCCTCTTCACACAAATTAATCCACTTTTCTTTGAGTTGGATATTAGTAGAGTTTAATTTCAGTTTTGGGGCTTCTTTCCCCTCTTGTCTCCCACTGGTGGTGCCAGGGATGCCGTGGCAGGATCCAGCTGCTGGTGCAGCACCGAGATCCACCCCAGCCCACTCCAGTTTTTACCCAACCCCTCGTTAATTAGCGACTGATTAGCGAGCAGAGCTCTCACCAGGTAGACCAGCACACACATGTGCTCCTTGGGCAGCCAGTGGAAGAGGTCAGCGGGGTTGCTGGGCAGGATCTCGTCGTCGTGCAGCGTGGAGATGGTCTGGATGCACTGCTGGAGCTGCTTCAGGCAGGGCTTCACGCTCTTCACCTGGCAAACCACACGTTCCAGAGGCACCATTCCAGGGGGGAAAACCTCCCAGGTAACAAATAACACCCCCCCCCAAGTCAGGGAATTACTCTGTGCCCAAAGTGTGACAGGGACCGTTCCAGGACGAACAACACTCTGCCATTGGTGGGTGAAAATCTGAGCAAAGCGTTTCCCAAAATTACAGGTTTTTGGCTGGTGGGTGTTACCCCCCCCAGCAGCACAACACGGAAGCAAGAGAGGTCAGAGAGCACAAAACCACCCCAGAAAAACCTTCCCTCGAGGGAGAAATTCAAGTACTTTTCCCCCTCGTTTCACTCGTGACAAAAACCTACAGAAATTCAGTTTTGTTCCCCAAAAACCCCCCCCCGAGGTGTTTGTGGAGGCAGTGCTGCTCCTCCCAGAGTTCCCTGGGATCCCCCACCTACCTGCCCAGCATCCAGGTAGTGTGTGACCTGCAGGACCAGGAAGAAGACCCGCAGGGATTCCTTCTGGATGGGGTTCCCCTGCCAGTTCTCCACGATCTGCCCGCACAGGGTGAGCAGAGGGTGAACCTCCTGCAGCTTCCGCTCCATCAGGAGCAGCTGCAAGTCCAGAGGGAAAAGAAGGAAACCATGGATTTGGTGTTGAACAGTTCAAACACTCGGAGAACCACAGCACTGGGAGGAAGTGGGGTGGAATTCCCAGGGAAGCTGTGGCTGCCCCATCCCTGGAATTTTCCAAGGCCAGGCTGGAGAAATCTGGGATAGTGGGAGGATTCCCTGCCCATGGCAAGGGTGGCACTGGATGGGCTTTGAGCCCCTTCCAACCCAAACCACTCCAGGATTCTCATTCCAGGCCCATTTGATTTATTCATCTCATTGCAAGAGCCCTTTCCCACAGCCACAGCTTCCCTCCCTCCAGTGACAGATTCCAGTCATCCTTTCACACTTCCCAGTTATCCTTTTCCCTCCCAGAAATCCCTTCACAATTCCCAGTTATCCTTTTCCCTCCCAGAAATCCTTTTACAAACCTTTCACAGTTCCCAGTTATCCTTTTCCCTCCCAGAAATCCCTTCACAATTCCCAGTTATCCTTTTCCCTCCCAGAAATCCTTTCACAATTCCCAGTTATCCTTTTCCCTCTCAGAAATCCTTTCACAATTCCCAGTTATCCTTTTCCCTCCCAGAAATCCTTTCACAATTCCCAGTTATCCTTTTCCCTCTCAGAAATCCTTTCACAATTCCCAGTTATCCTTTTCCCTCCCAGAAATCCTTTTACAAACCTTTCACAATTCCCAGTTATCCTTTTCCCTCCCAGAAATCCTTTCACAATTCCCAGTTATCCTTTTCCCTCTCAGAAATCCTTTCACAGTTCCCAGTTATCCTTTTCCCTCCCAGAAAAATCACATCATACTTAAGAAGGAAAAAAAAACAACCCCTCAAACCTATTCAGGAGGATTTCACACCAATCCTGCAGACTCAAAGCTTATCCCAAATATATTTTAATGCCCTGCTTGCCCACAGGGCAAACAAGAAGATAAAAAAGCACAAAAAGGCACACAAGGCACCTTAAAAATTGGTTTATGGCCAGGCAAGTCTTGTTCATTTGCTCTGGAACTTGCACTAAACGAGTGAAGAGGTTATTTAAGAGAACATCCCACTCACCATCCCCTTGCTGAGCAGGAACAACGCTCTGAAATGGAATAAAACAAAGTTATGCTCACAGAGAGTTACTCAAACCACAATTACACATTAAAAAATAAAGAGGATTTGCTTTTCTCCCCCCTTGAAGAGCAGAAGGAAAAGAGTATTAAGGGACCTGCCCCAGGAAACCCATTTCAAAGCTAAGTGGAAAAAGGGCTGCAGGAACCAGAATTCCAGCCTCAGCTTTGCATCCAAGCTTTGGGCAGTTCCAGCTCCAAAAGTTTCTGAGCTCCAACCAGACAAAATTCAGTTTAAAAAGCCCCTCCAGAGTGTGAAGAGGACATGCTTGGGTTTAATGGTTCTAATGGTGTGCTGGAAGGTTAGAACTGGAGGATCTTTAAGGCCCTTCCAACCCAAACCATTCTGGGATTCCTTGAGCAGGGAAAGGAAAGAGCTGGAAACCCCCCCCCCCCAAAGCTGGAGAAACCAACTCAGAAAGGTGATTTCTAGGTGGGTTTTAGAGGCAAACCAACCCCTTTAAATAAAACCCAGACCAGCTCCAAATAAAACTGGAGGAAGCCAGGCTATTTGCCGTGGGGAGGGAGGGGATCCCAGGGGTCTCACCTGGTGTACTCGGAGCCCACCACCCTGGCATACTCTGCTCCCACCCCCAGCAGGTCACAGGCAGACACCAGGTCCTTCTCCAGGGTGTGCAGTTGCTGGAATGACAAAAAAAAGGGACCCAAAAGGTCAGGGTTTGCTCCATGAAACCCACTCCAGAGTTCCCCAAGTGTCCCTATCCCTGTGCTTTCCATGTGCCAAAATACAAACCCCCAGACTTCACATTCACATAATTTAATTACACATTCAACTTACATATATTTTTACATAAATACACTCATAAACATATATTTATTTTATATACACTTGTGAGCACATCCCAGAACAGGAATTCAATTCATATATATTTTTATATAAATACACTTCATTTATATATTTATTTTATAAA